TTGTAACTTCTCCAAAATTCAGTTTTTTTAAAAATTTTTTTAACTAAAATTCTTCTATAAATCCATTATTTTTAAAAATTAATTAAATGTATATTAAAAAATTTAACTAATTTCAGAAGAATTTGAATTATTTACATTTTTGCAAAAGACGAAGTTCTTTAAAATTTCTAATTAAATTAATTCAAAATTGAAGTTTTATAAAATTTCAAATTAATACCTTTTGAAGTTCATCTATTTACGAATAAAGTTATTTAATTAGAAATTATTGTCAAAAATTGAAAAAATTGAAGGTTTCTTGTCAATTTTATAGTTTATCGAGGCAAACAAAAATAACACAAAAATTCCGAATTTTCTTATGAATTCTAAAAATTTAATTTTTTCCAGTACAAATTTCAAATTTTAATTCATTTTAATTTGCGATATTTTTGTGTTTTACTTTATTTCAATTTTTATTTTCTGAAAAAATTATTTCCGAATTCAAGACCAATTTTTACCTTCGCATATAGTAAAATTTACCGGTAATTTTCTAAAAATGTTAAAAATTGTCAGAAGGTAAAAAAGCAGAGAAATTATTTACATTATACTCCGCGTAAATAGTAAAAGTAACTTTATTCATTTCTTCCTCGCTGGGAAATTAAAAAAAAAACCTGTTTGATTTTAATTTAGAGAAAAATTAACATCGTGAATCGTTGCCATAAATTTTTTTTTTCCTTTCAAACTATTTAATTACTTTTCTCTCGTAATGGTCTAACTTGATTGGGTATAAAACTCAATAAAATTTTCTCTCCCCTTATAAAAGCATCCTCTCTCCCCGAGATCTTTTTCCAATAAACGCAACGCGGCATAATACTTTAGGTTTTTGCGATCAAACCATCTCTCTATATACAGACTCTTTCTTTTCCAACGACGACGATGACGACGGGGGTCGCTCATAAAATCCGAGATCGCTCATCCTAAACCCAAAAGCATAAAAAAGAAAAAAGAAGAGAATAAGTCTTTCCACACATGATCTTGGATCGTTTTTGCCTAACATTCAATGTTACTTTCTCTGTATACCCGACAGTCCCCAACAAAAAAAAAAAAAATTTTTTTTTTACCCTCATCTCTCCATAGATGTCCGCGCGCGTTTATATTTCCCAATATACCAATTTGTCGATCGATACACTTTATTTTCTGTCTCTCGTTCCATTTCACTATTTAAGGGGGGGATGAGGGGGGAGTCGCTTAAAACCTCCATACGAATTTTTTTTTTTACCCCTAAAACTATTTTATTTATATCGACTGGAAAAGTCGTCCAATTTCCAATCCTATATAATTTGCAACTAAAGAAAAACGTGCATTTAACGTGAACTGTTTTTTAGCTGCACGGAGGGAGGGGACATTAATTTTGTCCCCCGGTGTCCGGCGTGATTCTAAAATCAAGACTATATATGTATATATACTAAGCTTACAGTTATTGGAAATCGTGCACCGACTGTAAAGACGTTAGGAATGACATTTTCAACTCTCTAAAAACATTTCCGGAATCCCTTTACCAAACAGGTATATATATATATCGAAATAGCGAACGGAAGTATAAATAGAGAACTTTTTAAATCTCTTCTAAAATCGTTTAAATTGTTAAGAGAGAAACCACGATGCGAATCAAAACTTGATCGTGACATTTATTACCCCGTGAGATTGGGGCAACAAAATCCCTGCTCATTATGAAAAAAAAAAAAAAAAGAAAAAGTAGTAGAAGAAGAAGAAAAAGATTGGTTATATTGAAAAAGTTTTCATGCAACTCTATAATACTAACTTCATAATTGCGAGTCTAGATAAAAACTTATTGTTTTCTTCTATAAAATGAAAAATGAACGAAATCTATAATATTGAAATAAAAGTGTGTTAGAAATAATTTCTTTACGAAAATTGCATTTTTATTTTACTTTTATGTATTCGTAAAAATTTTAACAAAAAAAAAAACATAAAGTTCGCTCAAAAAATAATTTTTCATCTTCTGCTGATGCAGTAACAAATTGTAATCAGAATTTAGCAAGTTCGAAAAAGTTTGTCCTCTAAGAAGAAGTTTAAAAAGTATGTAAAAATTGAAGTTGAATTAACTTGAAAAGAAATTCTTTCTAATTTTTCGTTTTTGTACCGACTATTTTTACAGCTTCGTTGTGTTTAATCTAGGATGAGAATTGAATGTTATTGGAAAAGAAATTTTGAAAGTAGAATTTTTATGTGTTGTAATAATTTTTTTCTCGTTCGGAATTCAAAATCCCTTTTTTTTTTTTTTTATTGAAAATGCCCTATACGCGTTGGTTGTTTTTTCAACTATACTGTAAAAACAATAAATTATGAATGAACTAGAGAGAAAGATGAAAATTGTATTATGGATTTTGCATTTTACGAACTGTATAGTGGATATAATGTTTGTTTTAGCGAGGCTATTTTATTCACTATATCTATAGTACAGTATATCCTACTATGCATTATTCATCGGCAACCGTATTATCATTACATATTTCATTCATTCCACTAATATATAATGCACAGGAAATTCTGCAAAAATTAAGGATAAAATATCGACAGATGGATATGATCGTTTATATGCATCGTATTCCTCAAATGTTTTTGAATTATAGGCAAAGTATTAAATCAAAAGTTGAAAAAAATTGCGACTGTCGTTTATACGGAAACAGCTTGCAAGTTTAGAGCGCGCAGTTTCAGCATTTCAGAATACCTATTATTTTAAGTTGAGAATTTTGTTTCATTACAGAGCGAGGAATGTATATGTATTATTTTCTTTTTCTCTTTCTCTTCTTGTCAAAAGAAAGAGTTGTCATTTTATAAAATTCTCCCTCAATTTAAATTATTATTACGTTTAATATCCAAAAATATATTTTATAATTAAATCATAAAAAAAGAAGAAATATTTCCTTATTTTTAATAATGAATTTTTAAAAAGTCCAAAAAGTTATACTATCCGAGATCTTTAACTATTTCAAATTATTTATAATTAAATGTTGAATATAATTATAAAAAAAGTTGAAGTTCAGAATGTTGCAAAAAAAAAACATTGACAATAAGTATATTACTCGAAGAAATCGCAACAACATTGTCACAAAAATAAATTAAAAAACAAGATTTTTATTTATATTTCAACAAAAACTGTTGTATATTTTTTAAAAGTAATATTTAAATTCCTTTAAAAAAATTTTTCGTTAATCAACATTATGGACTTTAAACTTTGTAATTATATAAACATTATGTGTGTATAAAAAAATAATTTGAACATATATCACAATTAGGTAATAAAACATTTTAACGAGTTGTACACGTCACTAGAAATTGCTCTTTTGAAATCGTCATTCATTCGGAATATTTGCATCCTACCTCTGATTTGTGCACCCCACAAGTGATTGGCGGAAAATGACAATAGATTACCAGCGAGTATGCATTGTAAAATTGTCGAATGAATTCAACGCGATCAATTGCGTGAACAGAAGCAGAAACAACGATAATATCGGACCATAAAATCTCCTCTGATGTCACATGTTCCACATTTTTCTGACTAACGAAATGTTTATTCTAAAAAAAAACACAACAAAATATAAAAAATAAAAACCTTCCTTCTATACACTATTTTTGCGCGAAATTAATGAAATGAATCGGCCTTTCATCTTTTTTCTCTCCAAAGGCAATCAAGTCAGTACTGTCCATCAGTATCAAAATTCTAGAAATAAAAATTAGGCAAAAAAAGATTACCCACTCAAATTGAACAATTTCGAATATAAATTACACTTCTCAATTTCCTCCTCACTTGTCTCTGAATTTTTCAAAGAATTAAAGTAAAAAAAAAACAATTTTTCTAATATAAGGACAATGCGCATGAAATAAAAAAAAAACGTTTGAATAAGTCAAGAATATCTGAATTCAATTGATCAATTGTTACGTAAAATTGTAACCGCAATGAAAATTGCCATCAATTTAAATCGTTTTTTAAACGTGCAACTAAAAAGTTCCACAATGGAAAATAATTAAAGGGTTGAAAGTCGGATGGATTTAAATACACTGTCATTATTTGAGAGAAAAAAAATTAATTTTCTTGTTAAATTATTTCCTTGCAATTTAGCAGAATATCAATTTGAAAATTTTCTCCCAACAGTATTTTATTGTCACCAGAGAAGAATTTTATACACAAGTGTCATTAAAATTGTAACACAAAAATAAAAAATTAAGGTTAAAAATCTAAAAATTTAATTTAGAAATGAATATAAAATCGATTTATTAAGAAATTGAAATTAAAAATTAAATTTTAAATATTATTACTTATGCGCGCTTAAATTTTTTTTAAAAATATAGCGAATGAAGATAAAGGTTATTGTTGAAAAAAGCTGAGCTTTATCTTTCAACTTTTTCATTATTTTTTTATTACATTATCACAATTCAAACTAAATAGATATACAAATTCTACGAATATAGACATTATAAAAAGTTAGATTAAAATATCATTAAAAATAAGAACATTTATATTATTTCTTTGATAGGCTTTCTTGATATTTGTAAGATTGTCATAGAAAATCGTATTTTTTAAACAAAATGGTAAGTCGTTATTAATATTCATATATATAATTATGTATAAGAATTATATTGTTACTGTTTTGTTGTTATTATTATTCCTGAATATTGTAATTATTACTGTTATTAATATTATTATTATTACTATTATTATTATATATTACTTTTATTATCATTAAAACTAATATTAATATATTAATATTATTTAATAATATATTAAGAATTTATAAATAATATTTACGATACAACGTCCTTAAAGTTCACATCATTTATAATCAACAATTGAAAGAAAAAAAATGATTCAAAAGTTCAGATGATTGGAAGTTTTTGTTAAATTAAATATTTTTAAACATTACTAACTATAAAAGAGGCAAAAAACAAATAAAATAAAAAATAATTTAAATTTAAAAAAAAGTTTATAAACTTTTCTTTTTTAAGTGATTTTTCTAAAAAGTATACAAAACAGTTTAAAATAAAATTTATGAAAATTTTATGTACCAGGAAAAAATATTTTTTCTTCTAAATCATTGATTATAAACTTGAACATTAGCAACGTTACTATACAATAAGAAACAGACAGTAAAAATGTAAAAATTACAAAAGAAGGTGAAATATATAGTAAAAAATCTAACAACTTATAAAATTGTAAAAATTATAGTTTCAATTGTTAAAAACAGTAACAACATTTCGATGCCTTTAGTCCAATTTTATTGTCTATTTCTTGAGAATTAAGTTTCTTTCCTGACTGCCTATCAGTGGTAGAAAAAAATTCAAACCACTTTATTTTTAATTAGAAAAAAAATAATAGGATACATTAATGCTTACCGATTATTTTCTTTTGTTCGTTAGAGAAAGAACAATGAGATAGAATTAAATCTCACGAATTTTCATAAAATCAGTATTTATTAAGTAGCAAGAAAATTAAAACCTAATTTTTAAAAGATTTTAAAAATATTTTTAAAAAATTTTTTAAAAAATGTTTTAAAAATATTTTTAAAAGATTCCATATAAAACATTTTTTTTAAATGGCATATCGGATTAATGTATCCTACTATTTATTGAGAAAAGTTGATTAAAAAATCACAGTTGTAAATATATTGTATAAAAATGGAACATATTTGAAGAAATTCAACTTGAACACTGAAATTGAAACTAAAATTGTTAACGAACAGACATTAATATTGTACAACATTTACGCAAGTGTTAAAAAACGTTACCTGTCCATCTACTCTTATTATGTATACTTTTTTAGACAAAGGCAACAAATTATCACTTTCTTTTCCTCGAAGTCCAGGCAAGATGAATTGCCCAAATTGACAAAGGTCTCATATAACCTATTGCTCTATAAAATTTATTCTCGTAAAGTGCCTCCGGTGTTTCGAAACCCATTCCAATTTTCTCATAAACAGTTCGATAAACACCTTCCGCTGTTTTAAATCCCTCCCTAATCATTCCCTGAAACGAATTTTTATCATTTTTATTAACTAGTTTGTAGAAAAACCAAAAATTGGAAATCAAAATTTTTTCAAAGAATAGAAACGAACTTCGTGAATCATTAAAGCTGCTAGACCGTAAGTAACACCTGTCCACATTTCCTCACTCTGCGGCGTCACCATATCAATTCCTAACGAAGGAACATATCCATTTACTGCTCCTTGCTCTCCATTTTTATACTTCATAACATTATTATTAAAAATCGTTTCCAATGAAGATTTCACCTTATCCTCAGGAAAAACCTAGAGCATAAATTATATCCAGTTCAACTTATCGAAAATTGATCGAAAAAAAACTATGTATTCAAAAAACGAACCTCATGCTTAAAACCAGATGCTCGCAAAAACCATTGTCCACAAAGTTGATCACTCATTATACACATTTTGTGTTCTGATTTACCACTATCAAAATTGTAATATTCACCTAAGGGAGAAAAAAAACAAAAATTCAAATAATGAAAAAAAATACTAGCAAATAGAGAACAAAAATAATTTTCCAATTCACGAAAGAGAAAACCACTTTAAAATGTGCAAAATAAGCAGTGCAAAATAAAACTTGTCTTATATGCAACAAACACCAAAAAAAAAGAAAGAAAGAAAGAAAGAAAGAAATTGTGAGAAAAGTGGAATAAGTAAGAAAAGTGTGGCAAAGATATCTTGAGAAAGTTTGAGACTTGCCATTCCAGAGTTTCTCGTGAAAAGATGCTTTTCCCTTCTCTAATATTTCCTGATACCTTTTCGCATCATCATCTTCCCCCAAAAGAATGGCCATTTTCGAGGCGCAATAAAGCGAAGCGAGCCATAAACTTCCGCAATAAGCACTATATAAAGAATCAACTATACAATTAATCAAATGAATCCATAATTTAATTAGTTTTTCAGAGAAAAAAAAATATATATACCACCATACCTAGGACCTTTCATCACCCAAGTGTCAAAAGTTTGATCAGGAAAACCACCGTTTTCAATTAATCCATCATTATCCGTATCCCATAATAAACAATGATTAACAACCTGCCAAAGCCGTTAAATTATTAGCAAACTATCAATACTATCTACTATACCACAATTTTCGAAAAATAATTTTTTAAACACAAAATCTCACATTTCTAATTGTCGGCCAAAAGTCCACAAGTTGTTGGAAATTTTTACTCAAACTGTAATCTCGAAAGCAGGTTAAAACAAATTTTGGATTCAAATCTTTCCAATCTGACACATCGTGAATATTGTAAGCATTAAGTAATTTAAACGGTTCCTCATCTATTTATAAAGAAAAAATATTTTATATTTTCAGCCCTCGGAATGACTTTAAGGCGCAATAAAAGTCGAAAAAGTCGTTTATTTATGTCACAAAAATTATATTTTTTTCTAACCCTTCACTGATTCAAAGCATCAATAATTTTGTTAATTGTTAAATAAATATTTAAATACTTTCTATTTGTTTAACTAAAATTAGTTTAAATTATTTTAAATTAATTTAAAAAATTTCAATTCAAAACCTTTTGAAATTTAAAGATTTCTAAAAACTACAACTTCCAAACTTCAATTATTTTCTGAAATTATTAACTAAAGTTTATCTCTAAACCAATTATTTTTAATAATTTTGCTAAAATTCTTCGAGAATTCAATTATTTAATTACAAAAATTCAATTTTTTATAATAATTATAACTGCAACTATAAGGCATTTTTTTAATTTAAAGTTATTAAGGTGTATTTTCAAAAAATTATAATAAATAAATTCTTAAAATTGATTTTTAAATAATTTTTGAAAGATAATAGTTTTTCAATTATATACAATCGGAAAATTTCCAAACAATTAAAATATGGTAAAATATTTTATAAATAATTGAAATTTGGTAGAATCTTTCAGAATTAATTGAATTTTCGAAAAATATAAAAGAAATAATCAAATTTCTGAAAAATTTTAATTATAAATAAGAACATTTCTCCAAAATTTTAATAGGAGTAAAAAATTAAATTTCAACCAATTTTAATTTACTTTATTCGAAGGTAAATTTAAATTTTTAAAAATTAGGATAAAACAATTCTGAAAATTAGTTTATTAAAAATATAATGTATTTTTTCGAAAATAATTTAATTTCCTTAAAGAATTTTTTGTATAATTTAAAAAAACTAATTAATTTCTTGAAGAATTTTAATTAAAAATTTTTAACATGATTGTTTTTTCCATAATTAAAAATAATTAAAAATAATTCTCCATATTAAAAATAATTATAAAAAATTGTAATATTATTATTTTATGTATTTGAATTTTTGGAAACATTGAATTGAAAATATTGTAAATAATTGAATTTTAATAAAAATAAGAATGAAAAAATTCTAAGAATTATTTTTCCCAAAAAATATTTTAATATAATTTTTATAAACTAATTTAATATTAGTTATTTAATTTCAATATTAGTATTTGAATTTTTGGAAACATTTAATTGAAAATATTAAAAATAATTGAATTTCAATAAAAATTAGAATGAAAAAATTCTGAGAATTATTTTATGCAAAAATATTTTAATATAATTTTTAGAAACTAATTTTCATTAATAATTTTAATTTTTAAATTTACACTTGAAGATTTTTTATTAAAATTTTTGAGAATTCAATTACTTTCAAAATTTGCCATTGAAATTCTTCAAAAGTTGATTTTTAAATATTGTAATAAAATACTTGCAAGAAATCAATTATTTTCAATTACATTTTACAAAATTTATATCATTCAAAAAATTCTTAATAATAGGTATATTTTAAAAATTTAATTATCTTTCAAAAATTATTCAAAAATAATATTTGAAAGATTTGTCTAAATTTATTGTTCACGCTATAAAAATCGAAATAGGTTTCATTTTATACTAAAAATATGGTATTTTATTGCAATATTTTGAAGAAAAATCGAAAAAGTCGCAATTTTTAAAAATACGTCGAAAAAATTGGAAAAATTCGAGGCCTGTATTTTGTTTAAAAAGAAAAAACCAGTTTAAATCTTTAAATTGGAAATTTCCTTACCAGGATCGCCCATATCATGAGGAACCGTATCTTTTCTTTTTCTCGGTTGTCTTATTCCATCGTATAATGTATTCCAAACTGTAGGATCCTCCATATGAACATTATCCCTACATTCATATTGAATACACGCTTGTAGATTAGGCCACAGTTGAGCCAAAGCAAATGCAGCATAAAAATGCACATCATAAGTATTGTACATTCTATATTCGTGACCCTCAAGATAAGCGAATCGACCATATTCAATTCTGAACAGAGAAAAAGAAAAAAAAAGATAATATTCTCCCTACCAGCATTGAAAAATTGAATTTTCAAATAATATCAAAAGAAAATATGGAAAAAAATCTAACCGTGGATCTGTTGGCTCAAAATTATCGCTCTCATCAGTTCTCAACCAAATTGTCCCTCCATCCGAAATATAGTATAATTCATTAAATAAAGCTGATTTATACCAATCGGGTAAATTAACATCTTCTAAAATACTTTGTTGCCAACGATAAATATCCCTTTCCCATAATTTATAATGCGATAGTGCATAGCGAGCAATTTCCGGTGCTGACGATCTATCCGGCTCGTAAAAGAACTTCGTGTAATATCTACATCAGTGGAAAAAATTTATTATTTAATCAATACGAATTCAAATATTAGAATGAGTCGTAAATTTTTCACTTCATCTCCCACCTTAAATATTCTCGCATTTTACAATGGAAATTAATTTTTGGCATGTCCCAAACAAGACTGAATTCAATTTCACTTTTATCGTTGGATTTCACGAAAATACGACTACAAACTGCAGCGCCAATTGCCTGCTCTAAAAGAGAAGAAATATTTTTTAAAAATGTACACATAAAAATCAGTGAAAATAAAAGAAGTATTTCAAATATCCAAATTGCAAATAATTACGAATTTCAAATTTCTATTTCCATTTTCAATAGATCGCAAAAGAAGTTTAAATGTTTTTTTTCTCGTCCTACAATCAGACCTCAGATCGAGTTTAAAATACAAAAAACCATTTTAATTGATTCAAAATACAAAAAAAATTGAAAAATTCGTTTCTTTATTGTCACAAAATTGATTTTCTATTTTTCTGACTTTTCCCTAATTTCCAGAAAAATTTTAACTTTTTCCTTTATCTCAATAAGAACTTTAATTTTAATTGTTTGTAATATTCGATTATTTTTAAATAATCCTAATATTTTAAAGATTTTTCTTCAAAAAACACGATTACTTCTAAAAAATGTAATAAAATTTTTTTTAAATTTTTTCTACAAATTCCAACTGTAATTCTTCTGAAATTCAATTATTTTCTAGAAAATTTAACTAAATTAATTCAAAAGTTTAATAATTTTTGTAAAATATGTTCCTAAAGTTCAAAACGTTCAAATGAATGAAATTTATTTATTTCTTCTTCGAACTAAAATATCTTTACAATAGTTTTTCGTCACGTATCAAAAAAATTAATTTTACAAAGTTCACTTAAAATTTGTCTAAATATCAATTGTTTTCAATTCAATATAACGAAATTTGGATGATTCGAGAGTTTTTTAATTAAATAATAATACATATTAAAAACACAAATAATTTTTTAAAAATTTGCACTAAAATTTCTTTTCAAATATTTTCAATTTTAAAATTAATGTTTTGAAAATCATCGAATTGTTGCAAAGAATTTTATCAAAAAACTTGATAATAATAGAATTCCTTCAAAGAATTTTATTATTTAAGAAAATAACTGAATTCTCGCAAAGAATTTTATTGCAATTTTTAAAAATCCTAATTAAATTCTTTTGAAAAATTTCTTTGCATTTTTTTTTAAACTAATCGGGTTTTTTGTTAATAATTTTAATTGAAAATTTTGAAAGCAATTGAATTTTATTAAAATTGAATTGAAAATAATTGAATTCTTGCGAAGAATTTTACAATTTATAAAAATAGTTGAATTGTTTCGAATAATTTATTAAAATTTTAGGAAATAATTGAAATTTATGGAAAGATTTAAAAATATTTGAATTCATCCGAGGAATTCAATTAAAATTGTTTTGAAAATAATTGAATTTCTGCAATGAATTTTACTATTTATAAAATTAATTGAATTCTTGCGAAGAATTTTACTATTTATAAAAATAATTGAATTTTTTCGAAGGATTTATTAAAATTTTAGAAAAAAATTGAATTTGTTCGAAATGTGTTAAATTTTTTTTTTAAAATTGAACTCTTCCTTGGAATTCAATTAAAATTGTTTTTATAATCATTGAATCTTTGTAAAGATTTTACTATTTAAAAAAATAATTGAATTGTTTAGAAGGATTTATTAAAATTTTAGAAAATAATTGAATTTTCTTATGAAATTTTATTAAATTTTTTAAAAATATGAACAGTAATAATTAATTTTGTACTTAATAAGTGAATTTTTCAAATTTTAATTGTGAAATTATTTTAAAAATTTATATTTGAAAATAAAAAATTTTGTAATTTGCATAACAATAATAAATTGAATATCCACAGGATGTAATACTCTCAAAGTTTTCAACGTTCAAATGAATGAAATAATTGTTATTAAAAATATTTTCAAAAATTACTGATTGCAATGAAGATCAAAAATTTAAATTTTACATTTAAAAACTTTATAATTAATTGTTTTTGACAGTAACGCACAATTATTGTAAAAAATATTTAATTTGAACAAAAAATAAATAAATATTGTTCATGTGAACGTTTAAAACTTTAGGATCATTCTTATTATTTATGGATGGTTATCTTCTTATCATTATTTTATGTTAAGATTTGAAAAAAAAATTATAAATACATAATACAAATAGTTAAATTTACATTTTCAATTTTTATTGCAGTTAGTAATTTGTGAAAAAAAATATTTTATTCATTTGAACGTTCAGTATTTTTGGAGCATAATATGTGAAAAAAAATTCGAAAAAGTCTCATTATGCGATTAGTTTGAAATTCATAATTATTTGGAGTTTCAAAAAAGGAATTCTAAAAAGAATGCACTACTTGTCTTTGGTGAAGTCGACGTCGCATCTTCTTTTAGAGAACCTTCCTCCTCAAGATCATCCCATACACTTGCGCCATTACCTTGAGGATCGAAAGCTAATTTTCTAGTTACATTTACACCTTTTTTTGACCTCGAACCGATTCCATATGTACACGGCATTCCTCGAATTTGTTGATGGATCATCACACCATAAATATCATCATCAATATCAGCAATCTCAAAACGCTCGCTCCATTTGTCTCCTAAAAAATTTAATTAACCACTAACACCTATTCCTATTGACGAATATGTCCAAAAAGAAAATAATTATAACAGAGATCACAGTATAATTTCTCTTTGAAGAAGGTGAAATTATTTTCTAAATATAAGACAGATTTCTATAATTAAATTACCTCGATTATCCTTCACGTCACCTGTTCCACTTTGAAAAGTAAATGTTATACTGACATTCAAATCTTGCGAAGAATTATTCTCAACGCTCCATATAAAAACAGCACAAGGCAAAGAACTATCATAATAATTATGAGGAATCACTGGCGAAATTTGACGACAAACTAATTTTACTGCTGGATCCTCAATATTGTACTCGGTCCATGAACGAGGATATAACGCCGTATATGTTGCATTTTCACCTTTAAATTCCCATTTCCACTGCTTTAAATGCTTACAAGGCCTGTCATATTAAAAAGAAAATTAAAATCCAAAAGAATAATTCCTATTCTTCAATAACGAGATATTCGACAATGAAAAAGAGAGAATAGAAAATACTAATTAATATCAATCAATTAAAAGATTAAGTTTTCAAAAGCATTTACCTACAGCTCGCTTTCAATACTCGAATGAAAATGACAAATTACGGAATTTATCCATTAATTAGAGAAACTAGTTAATAAATTGCAACAATGATACATTTCTCTTACTTGTGTGTAGATAGAACCTGATTATAAACAACATTTCCATCGGTATCACTAATGGTGACAATAAATTGATTAGCAAGAATCGTGTTATATTTATACATTCCTGGCTGGAGTGCATATCGACAAAATTCGCCTTTGAAACCGCGACCAATTGTACCACCTCCAATTCCACCGATTGGTGCACCTAGCGCATACACTAATATTTAATAAAGCGTATACGTGAAGTCAATTTTACTAAGGGGCAATCCACTTTGGGTTTCTGAATTCGTTTATATACATTATGGATTTAAAAAAAAAGAAAAGAAATAAACTATAAACGAGAGTTGAAATTATCTCCCAATTTATGTACTCAGGGCTCGAACCAGTGCAAGTAAAAATACGGACTTTACGGACCAAACATAGAAAATTACGGACCAATTATTGACAAAAATATAACCAGTTTGAGTCAAATAAAAGAAGATTTTACTTTAAACTAAAATTAAATTTTTTCATAACTATAAAACATGAAGATAGCCCAGTGATAAAATCATTATTTTATATTCTAAGAATATTGTTACTGTAACTTCTTCAAAATTATTTAGAATTTTATTAAAACTTTTTCAAATAATTGAATCCCTGCGAAAAAGTTTATTATTTCTACAAATAATTGAATTTTTGCAAAATCTTTAAAAAATAAGTGAATTTTTTAAGAAAATTTTATTCAAATTGTATTTAAAATAATTGAATTCCTGTGAAAAATGTAATATTTATTGATATAATTGAATTATTTTGAAGAATTTTAAAAAAATGTTTAAAAATAATTTAATTTTCTCTGGAATTCATTAAAAATTTTATTGAAAATAAGTGAAATTCTGATAAGAATTTTATTATTTATATAAAAATAATCGAATTTTTTACGAAGATTTTTATTATTTATAAATTGACCTTTTTGCAAAGAATTTTATTACAATTATTGAAAATAATTGAATTCTAAAGAAAATTAAAAAAAAAATGTATAAAAGCAATTTAATTTTCCTTGGAATTCAATTAAAATTGTATTTAAAATAATTGAATTCCAGCAAAAAATTTTATTATTTATAAAAATAATGAAATTCTTGACTTAAAAACAATTCAATTATTTTAAAGAATTTTAATAAATAACTAGCCAAAAATAAAATTATTTTCAATACCATTTTAATTACATTTTCTCGAAAGAATTCAATTATTAAAAAAAAGTGTTGATAAAATTCTTGAAATTAATTCAATTATTTTCAAATTCTTCTATAAATACTTTACAAGAATTAAATTATTTTTAGTACATTAATTTTAAAATTTTAAATATATTTAAAAAGAAAAATGATTTAAAAAGTTAGAAAACAAAAGGCAAATAGCAACTAACTTTAAACTGCGAACAGATTACCGGAATACAACGATTATTAATATAGATTTTTAACTAAAATTCTTCTTTAAATCAATTATTTTTAATAATTTTCGAAAAATTTCTTTGACAATTTACAAATTTATTAATTACAATATTTAATTTTACGAATTTTCAATTATTCGTAAATTCTTCAATTAGATATATATTAGAAAATAAAAACTTCAAACAATATTTAAAAAATTCAATTAAACTTTTCAAAATTAAATTATTTCTAAAAATTCATTTTTAATATTTAATTATTATCTCAAATTTTAACTAAAATTAATTTTTAAATCAATTTTTATTAGAAAATTCTACTAGAATTCAATTATTTAAATACATAAGTAAATAATTTATTGAGTAATTGAATGTTTCTTAAAATTGAATTCTCATAAAGAATTTCATCAACAAATTTTTAAATAAATGAATTCTTTTGATTGAATTGAGGTAAATTTTTGAAAATAATTGAAATTTTGCAAAGAATTTTATTAAAATTTTTGAAAATAATAAAATTTTGGAGAAGAATTTAATTACTTTTGAATATAATTGAATTTTGGCAATCATTTGTAATTTCCCTAAAATTCTCTAAATTATATCGTAGAATTTACGAACTTTTCGTCCTTTTTCAGTCAAATTACGGATTTTACGAACCTCTTTTTTTTTAAAAAAAACTGACTATTACGGACTTCAAGCAAATTTATGGATCTAGTTCGAGTCCTGATGTACTTTTCGGTTGATAATTATTTGGAAAAATCTATTATTAATTTAAGATATTTTGAAAGATAATAGTACCACTTTTATATAGATAACTTATCTTACCATACATTTGTAAACCTGTTTTTGTATTAATATAATCCATCATAGGTACACGACCTTTCCTCTTTATTTGACGATAATACATCATATATCTGTAATTCATCAGGATAACAATATTAATCTCTCATTCGCCTACAAAAGCTAAGAAATATTTATTTGAAAAAGAATTTTTTCCAATTTTCCCTTTCATTTGGCTTTTTATTTATAAACAAAAAATTTACCCATTATAAAGTAAATTTAGATTTACAGAAATCAATCTCCTGAAAATTCTTAATGTTCAAGTCAACGAAATTTATTATGTTCCTAAAGTTTTGAAAGTTCAAAAAAATTATAATAAAATATGATCCTAAAGTTCTGAACGTATTAATGAACGAGATTTATTTTTTTTCTTTTTCAAATTAAATTTTTATTACAATATTTTCACTATGATTAAAATTAATTATAAAGTTTTTCAATTATAAAATTAAAGTTTTTAATTTTTATTGCAATCAGCAATTTATAAAAATATTTGAAAAATATTTACAGTTTAATGTTAAAAAAAATATAAAATTTCTTTATAATTAAAATTTTTGCTTTTAATTGCAGTTAGAAATTTTTGAAAATATTTTATTGGCAAAAAATTCAGAACTTATATGGAACAAAATAATAAAAAAAATTACAAAACTTTTATTTATTATCAAACTAAACCTAAATAAATAAGTAAATATTTAAAAAAAAAAATTATTAATTTAAATAAATAAATTATATTTTCTGGTCTAATTTGAAAAAATATGTACTCACAATAATTAAAAAACTCTTTTTATATAAAAAAAGAATACCTTCATTTGAATTTGAAAATAAAATTTTAAAAATTTGTTTAATTTTAAATTTGAAAGAAATAAATATTAAAATATTACTTTATTATCAGACATAAATAAATAAAAATGAATCACATGAAAAGAAAACAAAAAAAAGAAACATTTCAAAACATAACCTTTAAAATCTCCGGTCAATCAAAAGCGAAAGGAAATACAAATAATGAAGTTAGATATTATATAAATAATAAACAAATTGAGAAAAAAAATCTTGATTAAAGTCCATTTTCTTTCAAGGAAAAATTGGAAAAATTTACATTTTTATGTTTACAAAAACATAACCTCTCGTCTTGTATCTGTCAAAACACCTTGAGATTAAAATCATTTACAATTTTATAATAATTTTAAAAAAAAAGTTATCATGAAAAACTATAATTAAATAATCATACCTCCATCCTAATGATATAAATTGTGGAATTTGTTTAATTCTTGGTTTTACAGCTTGAGACCATTTCTCAGGAAATTTATGATTTAATTTCACTTTAAATCCATATTTTGGAATTTCTGTCATATTATTTTTTGTATTCTTCTGATCTGATTTCTCCATTTTTTAATATTTTTATATGAGCAATATTAACAATTAATTAGAATTAATATGGCCATTGTGAAACTATAGTAAACACAATGAAACGTCGTTTCCTTTTGATGATAAATTAATTCAAACAACTTTATAAATATGCAATCACACTATTACATTAGTCATAATATAATTCTAATGATAATAAACAATAACAAACACCGATAAAAATTCGATATTAAAAATAATAGTAATAAAATAATACTAACAGTAATAAAACAATAACAATAGTAATAATTATAACAACAATACTAATAAAACAATATTAATAAATTAATAATAACTACAGTTTTACTATATAAATCCACTTCAAATGTAAACAATGATATAAATTCCGACTTGTCGTCTGCTCTTTTTATATATCTGTCTGTCATCAGATAAAATGATTCTTGAAATGTAATTACATTTCAAAAAACGTATACTTAGTCATTAAGAGATGGAAATTTTATATTTATGTAATAAAATTTTATTTAGACAAATTTTCAAAACATAGTTTGTTGTCTCTAAACGCAAAAATTAAAAAAAAAATATTCCAAAACATTTATGTTTTCAAATTTTTCCGCTCAAGTTTACATCTTTCTACGCATGATCGATCAATATTTCACGCCCTCTAGTGTGATTTCGTGTAAACTTTCAGCAACGTCAATGACGTCAATGTCCAATGTCGTCGTGTTTAGAGAAATAAAGTGTAAAAATTTTGGTTAATATTTTTATTTGACCAAAATGTCCTTAGCCAGGTAAACATTATTAAAACGTTAATAATCTGGATCTTATCTCTTACTTTCTTTCTCTTTACTCATTTTTACTTTATTCCCTGAACTAACAGTTGATTGTATATTTAGGTTAGAAATCTATGTCCCTTATTTTTATTGATATTTTAATAATTTAACAAACATTAAAACTCGAAAATGAGAATAACTTTAGATGTTTTAAATAATAAATAAGTTTTGCAAGTATTTCGAATTTTTCTTTTTAATTTTTTGTCTATACAATTAACCTCAAATATTTTTTTGCGTGAAAAGACTAATTATTTAAATTCATAAATATTCGTGTTTGTTTATTCACTAAGTAAGTTTTGATTTTTTTTACAGTTTACTGCCTACTCCTAGTCAAGTTGTTTGGGATCGAGAAGATGAAGCTCGAGAACAAAAACTTCGACAACGACCTGTATCAGCTTTGGTGAAAGCTGTTGTCACTGCTCCTCCTTATGGCCAACGAAAAGGATGGATTCCCCGATGCGAAGAAGTAAGTGACAAGTTTCTGTATTGTTTATAGTATTTAGTATTTAGAAATTTATTTCTAAATTATATTTAGAAACTTTTATAGTATTTAGAAAAAACGGGACTTTTTTGTAAATAAATGTCTGATAGGAGAAATTTACTTTTTAGGATTATGGAGATGGTGGAGCTTTTCCGGAAATCCAAGTGGCCCAATATCCACTTGGAATGGGAATGAAGGGTAAAGAATCAACGAGCAATGCTCTTGCTGTTCAACTAGATGCTCAAGGAAAAGTTAAATACGACCTTATAGCCAGACAAGGACACTCGAAGGACAAAGTAAGTCTTTTGTTAAAGAGCAATTTTTTTATTTTTTTAAACCCCTATTGATCCAACTTTTAGTTAACTTTAACTTAAGAAAGTTAACTTCGACTTTAATAAGAAATAATTTGCAATAAACTTATTAGACACTTATCGGGAACTTAATAAAGATTGATTGAATAAGAAGATTAAAATTCATTTTCTAATTACTGCAAATTCACTTCTCTTCTAGATTGTCTACAGCAAACTCAGTGATCTTCTACCATCAGAAATAACAAATGAAAATGACATTTCCATGCAATTGCCTACCGATGAGACTTCAGATGAACTTAGTCAAAAGACTGCAAAGGCTTTGCAAAATATTATAAGTTCTAAGGTAGCAGCGGCTATGCCTGTGAGATGTGCAGAAAAACAAGCACCTGCTCAATATATTCGCTACACACCCTCTCAACAAGGACAATCTTTTAATTCCGGCGCAAAGCAAAGAGTTATTCGTATGGTCGAAGCTCAAGTTGATCCTCTCGAACCTCCTAAATTCAAGTTAGTTGACTTATTAACTTGAAATTTAAATTTAAATCAATTTGTTTGTCGAGTCAAAACTGTATATTCGAATATATTCAATACTCATAATTGTATTTCAAGTCTAAAGTGAAATTTGAAATGAACTAATTTTTTTCAGAATCAATAAGAAAATTCCAAGAGGACCACCATCTCCACCAGCTCCGGTACTTCATTCGCCAACTAGAAAAGTTACTGTCAAAGAACAAAAGGAATGGAAAATTCCGCCCTGCATTAGTAACTGGAAAAACGCTAAGGTTAGAAAAAAATGGAAAAACTTTTTTAGGAGTTTTCCCTGATTTCTAGACAAATTTTTAACTTTTTGAAAATAATTAAATTTCTGCAATCATTTGTAACGAAATTTATTTTTTTCATCTTCAAATTAAATTTTTATTACAATATTTTGTGTCACTGAATAAAATTATTTATAAATGTTCTGAATATAAAATTTAAGTTTTTAATTTTTTATTGTAATCAGTAACTTATGAAAATATTTTTAATAAATCCTGTTTTTATTACAGTATTGTGAATTAAAATTATTACAAATGGTTCTTTACAGGGATACACAATTCCGCTTGACAAGCGTTTGGCAGCCGATGGACGAGGATTACAACAGAACCATTTGAATGAAAATTTTGCGAAATTATCCGACGCATTGTACATTGCAGATAGAAAAGCTCGAGAAGCTGTAGAAATGCGTGCTCAACTCGAGAAGAAATTGGCGCAAAAGGAGAAGGAGAAGAAGGAAGATCATCTTCGACAACTCGCTCAAAAAGCACGTGATGAACGTGCAGGAATAAAAACAGCAGCTGTTTTAGGTAGAGCGATAAATCTTTCACTTTTTTTCCTTATTAATCTTTTTCCACGTTCTGGAAAAAGTTTTTCTAATTTTAATGCAATCGGAGTATTTGTTTTTTAATATTTGTAAATATTTTCAGATAAATCGGAGGATATTCGCGAGAGAGATCAACTTAGACAAGAACGTCACAAGGATCGTGCACGTGAAAGAAATTTAGCACGCGCCGCACCTGATAAACGATCACGTCTTCAACGTGAACGTGAACGTGATATCAGTGAACAAATTGCCCTTGGAATGCCAGCGAAAAATATCAATTCCGGTGAATCGCAATTGTTTGATCAAAGATTATTTAACACCACCAAAGGAATGGACAGTGGTTTTGGACACGACGATGAGTACAATGTCTATGATAAACCATGGAGGGATAATTCAATCAGCACGCAAATTTATCGTCCTGGCAAAAATATCGATAAGGATAATTATGGCGACGATATGGACAAAATAATAAATACAAACAGGTTCGAGAATTATCAAATTATTATTTTAATCTTCTTTAATTTAGAACAGATCTACTCTTCTAGAGGGAATCTAATCGTCACATTTTTTTTACAGGTTCGTTCCTGACAAGGAATTCAGCGGAACAGATCGAGCAAATCCTCGTCAAGGTCCCGTACAATTTGAGAAAGAAGAAGAGGAGGATCCATTTGGTTTGGATCAATTCTTGACACAAGCTAAAAGAGCCAGTGGATCTACTAATCCACCTACTAAACGTAAAGATGATCGCGATCAGCGAAGAGACGATCGTGATAAACGTAGAAAGCATTAAACTTTTTTTAAATTCAACCATTTTCCGATTTAATTTCAAAATATTTTTATACCGTTAAGACACAATTATTGTAACATCTAAATTATAATTTTAATAGTTGTAATTATTATCAATTTTAGATAATTAGAAAATAACAAAAAAAAGCAACTCAAATTATTAAAATACTTAATTTTTTTCTATAATTAAAATCATTAAAATACATACAAAAATATGTACTCTAATTTGTAGTTTAGTTTTTCCAGTGTAAGTTCATTTTTCATATCAGCAAATAAAATGTATGTACAAGAAAAAAGAAAATAAAGGTAGTTTTAATTATCAATTTTTAATGTTAATTCAGGAAAAATTATTCGAAAACATCAATAACTTCATAAATAAATCATTATTTCTTTTTATAGAAATTAAGATATTTTTCAAAAATTATTTTCATCAATACGATTATTCATTTCTGGAATTATCAACTAAAATTCTTCTTCAAATCAATTTTTTAAAATAACTTTTGAAAAAGTTCTTTGTGAATTTTCAAATTCTTTTGTTTACAATTTATTTAACGAAATTTCAATTATTCTTACATTCTTCAATTAAATATATATTAGAAATTAAAAACTTCAAAAAATTTTAAAAAAATCCATTTAAGTTATTGGGAAAAATTAATTCTATAGAATTCTTAATTTAAAGTATGAAAAGTTCAAATATTCAAAGATTTTAATTTGAAATTCATTTTTAAATAAATATTTATTAGAAAGTTCTACGAGAATTCAATTATTTAACTATAAAAATAAATATTTTATTAAACTTTTATTAAACAATTGAATTTTCATAAAGAATTTTATCAAGAAATTTTTAAATAATTGAATTCTCTTGACAAACTTTAATAAAATTTTCAAGAATAATTACATTTTTCGAGAAATTTAATGAAAATTGAATTAAAAATAAATGAAATTCTGCCGAGAATTTTATTAAATGTTTTGAAAATAATTCAATTTCGGAGAAAAATTTTATTATTTATAAAGATAATTGCAATTTTGACAAGAATTTAAAAAGATTTTTAAACATTATTATTTTGAAACAAAACAATAAATTATTTTGAAAAAAATTGAATTGTTACGCAAAGAGTTTCATTAGAATTATTGAAAACAATTTTATTCTTTAAAGATATTTAATTAAAAATGCGTAGCAACCCTGTGTTAATTTGTGCATTTGTTAATGTAAAAATTATTCTGCACAATACGCTCCGAGTGGGAATTTTTCGTAAACAATCATCCATAACCTCAAATTTGAGATATGAATTTCATATTATATTACCAAAGAACTCACATTTGTTGATCACTCCGTAAATGTTGTTGTTGGTTGTTAATATCCTGTAAATGTAGACTGTTTCTTCTGTTTCCTGAAAAAAAGAATAATAATAAATATTAGATACATATATACAACATTAAATACAGCAATAATATTCGCCCCGTTAAGAGCGAATTTTTACCTTTATGCACACAAATATCTTCCGGTTGAAAAGTAAAAAACAACACTCGCGACGAAAAATATATTTATTCACCCCGACACTATCGAAAAATGCAAAAACTTAATCCAAGTTTCAGAGTTTATAAAATAATCACGTTCCGAATTTCCAACACGAACGACAACGACACGAAAAAGACGACGAACAATGGGCAAAAGCTAATCCACGCATTAAGACTGAATTTCACGACACATAATTCATACGATTAACACAAAACTACTCGAAAGTAAAAAATAAGCACGAGAATTCAACAATTTTACGATTTTAAGCAGCTAAAACTTTAAATCAAACGTCGGAAAAGATGAAAAAAGTTGTTATCTCAACCATCTCAACAAAAGCAATATGGCGGACGAGAATACCGCGAACACCGACAACTATTATTCACGAATCCTGATAAACTACATTTATTTCACCCGAAATTTATATATATTTCCAATCTTAAACAACTGTCGAACAATATTTTATCTTAATTTACACTGATCACTAGAAAAAACTATAATTTTGCAACGAAAAACACAGAGCTACTTGAGCACGATCTACACTGGGGAATCTCTAACCGGAAATGACGGCCGTTAAAATGGCGCGAAACCAAGTTAGGTTAGTCAAGTTCAAAACTATTTTCTAACATAAGAAAATAGTTTCTATTTTGACTAACTTTATTTTAAAAATAAAATTCTTTGTATTTATCACGTATTTAGAAGTTAATAAATAATAATTTTAAGAGTCTATTCTACTTTCGCCTAAAATTTATTTTCGCATAAAAATACGTTTCAATTTTCTTAATTTTCCTGATAAAAAAAAAAATTTTTTATATTAATTTATTATTAATTAATTCATATATTATTTGAAAAGCCCGCTTAAAAAATGATTTTTGTCTGATTTATGTTAGGTTAGGTTATATTTATAAAAACAAATATAACCTTTGATCGTTAAATTATATTTTAATTATTTTATAAATATAAAAATAATTCTTAACAAATTTATCCTTATAGAATATTATGATATTAACACCTGGAATATATTTTAATAAATTAAAGTTTATATGGATAAAAAATATTTTAACGCTATTTGAAAAATTATATTGTTTATAAATGGATAATTTAACAAAACAAGTAAGTTTTTTATATTTTATTCTGAATTCTGAATTTTTTATAATTTCGAGAAGTGAAGAAAAAAATAATTAACAAACATTAATTCATTGAATTAATAGATTTTTCTCGTTTTTTTATTTTTTAACTATAAAGTTATTATTTGCAAATAAATAACGAATTCGAATGAATAAAAATAAAAAAATGTATTAAATCGTAATGATTATTTACAAACATATGTTTCGTTTTACAGATAGAAGAAATTGAAGCTCTCTCTGCAATTTATGATAAAGATTGGCAATCAGAGGATGAGGAAAATAGAGTATTTAGTATTAAAATTAAGGATAATGAGAATTATGTAAATTTGTATTTTAAATTGCCTAATGATTATCCTTTATCATCGCCACCCTCTTATGAAATATCTGCACCACATCTAAATAATTCTGAGAAACTTAATTTAAAACATCTCTTAGATGAAACATATCTGTAAGCTCTTCTTATTAATATTAATTTTCATTCCTCTTAATTATTATTCTCTATTTATAAATTTACATTTAAATAAATAATAATTTAGATGCTTTCAATTCTAGTTCCAATATTGGTCAAAGTATAATATTCCAGTGGATAGAAGTTGTGCGAGAAGAAATTCAGTCAAACAGTGAAAATAAAAATAAAGAAGACGATTCGTCATCAGATAATGAAAATTCAATTGTTGAAAATTCTATAATAGAGAACCAGGAGTTATCAAAAACTAATTTAATTGATAACGAATGTCAAATTACACATGGAGAAGTGATTTTCGATAGAAAAAGTTCATTTCAAGGTCATGCTGCGACAATTTTAACAATTGATCAAGTTCAGTAAGTTTAGAAAATTTGACTGAAAAATAATTTTAAAAAACGTGAAAGAATCGAAAGTAATAAGAAGTGGAATTAAATATTTTTTTTTTTGCTTTACAGTCAAGTTCTGGATAAACTCAAAGAAAATCGTAAAATCGCTAATGCAGCGCACAATATTTACGCCTATAGAATTTGCAAAGAAAATACATTTATTCAGGATTGTGAAGATGATGGTGAAGCTCAGGCTGGTGGGAGACTACTTCATCTTCTCCAGGTAAAAATTTTACATTTCTTTTATGTATAAAAAAAATTACTTTTCTATTTATATGTTAAGTAAAAAAAAGTAAGAAAATAACGAGAAAATAAACTTATCAATAGATACTTGATGTGAAAAACGTTATTGTTGTCGTGACACGTTGGTATGGAGGTGTACATTTAGGTCCCGATCGTTTTCGACACATCAATAATGCTGCACGTCAAGTTCTAGAAGTTTCAACTCTTATTCCAGACAATAAATTACATAAAAAGTAAATATAAGTAATTCGCTTGCAAAAGGAGTGTAAAACTTCACAATAATGAGAAGATACTTAATTTCACTTTTCTGTCTATATTTCCAAACTGTCTATAATTCATATAATAATGTTCACAAAAAAAAAAGATTTCTATATACCTATTTTTTAAAATTTACCATTTTTCTGCTATCTACATGAATAATTTGTACAAATGTATAAAAATTTTTAATTGATGTACATAGTTGAAATATTTTTCATTGGAATTGTTGTTATAAAATGTAATTAATTAAAAATGAAATAAAATTATATTCATACATAAACAAAATATTTACTATTCTTGATTTCTTTTTTAAATTCTACTAGTTAATTATCTTAATTATCTTAATGATTATAAATGATTAAAAATTGTTTAATGAAAATAAATCTGAAAAAGCAAACTTAATTAATTAATAAAACTAAAATATGGATAAAATGAACAAAATTTTTAATTAAAGTAAAATAACAATATTATAGGAATGTTAAAATATTTTTGTTTTGTTTTTTCTTATAAAACGAAGATAAATACTTCGCTTTTACTGTGTTAGTGTTTTACAATTTATATTATTACCTAGGTTACAAAGAAATAAGCCGCAGCTTAAGCTCAACATTTGAATTAAATGTATTTATCCTCATGCACTAATACTTCTTATGTCCAATTAACTATAATTCAAACGAGTGAGATGTTATAATACAGTGGCAATGTCAATTTTTTTCGTTTTTATACCACTTCATAATTGTCTGTGAAGAAAACTGTTTCCACTGAGTGTTTAACAGGTGTCTCGTCTTCAACCAGGAAAACATTAAGGACCTTGAGAAATTTAAAAAAATGAGTAAAAGCTATTTATTAAGTAAGAGTTATTTATTTAATAAATTAATTAAATAACTATTAGTAGATTGGAAAAATATTTCATTTTTACCTTAATTTTGGCATAAGATGTCTTTGATGTAAAAGTGACATGAAGAGGGAAGAAATCAGAAGGCGTTGATGAAGGGGCGGAAAATTCCATAGATCCAGATTTTGTTGATGCGTCTATAATTGGCAAGGACCATGTTAGCATATTTCTCCTCGAATCGTGATTGTACTGACCGTCACATTCATTCACAACTGGATTACATCCCAGAGGAAGAGGAATGACAATTTGAACATTGTTTAATTCTAAATCAGTCTGTTCCAATTCGTATTCAATATTCACGTCACATCCACCGTCTCCATTCTCAGATGGCCAGCAATTTACTAAAATTAACATTAAATTGATTAATTAAAATTAAATTTAAATCAAAGGAAAAAGGTAGAATGTAGAAAAGAGGAAAAACAGGAAATCGAAAGAAAAAAAGTACGATAAGTTCTACAAAAATAGAAATAAATCTCACTTGAAAGAGGCAGTGCAGTTTCATCTTGAGTTTGTAACCTCCATTTCAAAACACCGACATCGGTGTTAATTGGAAAGGGTTTAGAGGGGATTTTTAATCCAATTTGACACTGCATCCTAAACAATTCCTTATCAACATTCGGATGAGTCTGTAGCTGAACTCCTTTCGTGTCCTTATTTTCCAGATGAACACGAATACGACCCCATTTCTCGTCAGAAATATTTAGCGTCACCAATCCATGAAGTTCAAATGATTGAACGCCACCATCTCTGCTCACGCGTAAACTAAGTCTCTCTTCTTGCCTCAAATGAACCCTGGACAAAAAAAACAAAGTTAATTTAAGCCATAACAGGAAAAGAATGTAGAAAATAAAAAAAATCAATTACTATTGAAAAATACATACGGCTCTGTGTTAACAATTTGCTGTGGCAGATTTGTTACTTTCTTTCCAGCAGCACTGGAATTATTCATCGATACAGTTTCGCCTTCTTCTTTAAGTTGATCAACGAATGAATCAACATCACGAGCTTTACCACCCAATTTCATTGCACCAGGTCCAGCGGTTGTCGTTTTTCTAAAAAAAATAATAAATACAAAAATTTCATTTTGGAGAAAATTCAAAATTAAATTCTTTTTCTTTTCTTTTAAATTCTTTTTTAACTTACGGAACTGACGAGTACTGTATTGGCTTCACCGGCTCAGGCATGAAATTCGCCGAATCGCCAATAGTTGGATTCGATGGAAATGAACTGTTTCCAAATCCACCGCCAAAATTTGGACTTTTAATGCCACCTTTTTTGTTCGCTTCCATACGTTGCCTCTGCAATTCTTTTGCTTTTTCGCGCATTTTATTTTTCGCTTCACGTTCTTGCGTAAATCGAACTGCTTGATAAACACGCTCCTCATGTGAATCCATTTCGACAAATGTTCTTATTTGCGCCAAATTTACACTCTCCCTGTAACCAAGTGCCACTATTTCATCGAATGCAAAAATTAAATTAAATGCATTCTCCGCTATCTCTAGTTCGTCCATTGATTTACAATATTCTGGAAGCTAAAAAGAAAATAGTTTTTTTAATTTTAATCTAATAATAGAAAAATTTTCCCTGAATTTTTCTCTCAACTATTTTTTAAAATTAATTTTAGATTGTAGATTTTATTATAACGTACCACACGGGCAAAAAGCCGTAATGTTTCCAAATCTTCGAGAATATTGCTGGCTTTTGTTGTTATTAGTAACATATACAATTTTTCCAATGGCTGATAAACATAGCGAACAGAATCTGTTTCAACAAAAGTGTGTTGTTTACCGGAACTCATTAACTTTGGAAATGCAGCTAATAATCCCTCTATTCGGGCTTTCGTCATTTCCACAAACTGACGAGAAATAATAGCTGAAAATAAAATTCATTTATTATAACAAAGAAATAAGTTAACAATCAAGTATATTATTGATAAAATTATTTAAAAAAAATAAATCAGTTTAAAAATTATTACAAAAATGTTTAATAAACCAAATACCAAAGATACTAGACACGAATCATCTAATCATATAATACACTATTAAAATAACAAAATAACACGTAATTGATAAAAAATTCCTTTTTACATCAAATGTCATGATGAAATACCAAAGTGACATTTGCCTTCAAAAGCCGGAGTGACTAATCTTGGATAATTACTGATCAAATCGAAAAACTATTGAAACTAACTAACTATCGAAATATTAATAAATATTAAAAGATAGTTAATATTTTGTAAATATTCACATGCTAAGGAATAAAAAACGTGACTTACTTTTCCCTGCTTTCGTACATACTGCAGCAGCAATGAGCACCTAAAAAAAGATGTCAAGTTTATCAATTAATTATTTAAAAATAGAGACGACAATTTCTGTCATTTATTATATAAACACTAACCATTTTTTGGCAGGATACTCAAAAAATATTTAAATCCTATGGTAAAACCTGATGGAATGTCTGCATATGCAATTCACATCAACTAATACATATATATGTATACAAAATGTGTGCCTAGCTGACGTGTGTTCTTCTAAAAGTCGATTTACAATGAAATTCACCTTCTGTCAGATTTACAATTCTCGTCAATAGTGATGAAAAAAATAATTTAATTAAAAACAATAATTGGAGAATTTTGTAAACAATTAAATTGGTCGACAATTTAATTTATTGGTTATGAACACTTTTGGAGCAATATTTAAACTCACAAAACGATGACAAATAGAATAAAAATTATTGTAAAATAGATCTTTAATTATTTAGACACTGGGAAATTATTATTTTCACTGTTTTTAATATATTTTTTAATTGTTTTAAAGGGTTTTTACACCCATTAACAAATAGCAAATACTTCTTTTGGTGATGTGTCACAAATATACGTCAACCTCGTACCTCCACGAATACAAAGACGCATGCGTAGCGTACGTAAATTCTTTTTCGTGATTGGTTGAATAATTACGATTGAAAGAAGAGGGAAATTTCAAATATAATTCGAGGATCAATTAAATCGAGGATCAAATAAAAGGAGACGCCTGTTTATCCCCGTTTATGCAAATGCTCTAATAGTCATTTGATCTAATTTAAAGGTTATAAATATTCAAATGATCTAAAGAACATTGAATATAATGTGATTTTATATAAAAGTCTAATTAATAAAATGAGTTTATTCTATAATTTATTTTTAAGCCAATAATCAAAATATCCAATTCGCATTTTCTATAATCATAAGCAATTATAAAATTTTTTCACGCAAACTTTCAACTGATAAAATAGTTGTATAAGCCAAAGTTTATTTTTTATAATTTTATAATAACCTAATTTTAAAGTGTTATAATTTTTAATTTGTATAAATTGTAATTTAACAAATGTCTGTCAAATCTAAATGTAGTAAAATATAATTTATTTAAATAAAATATCTTTTTTAAAAAATGCTAACAACCTCGAATCGTCAATTGATCAAATATTCAAAACATCTAATCGTCATTTCGTCCAATGCTAAAAACATCGAATCGTCAAATGGTCGAATGCTTAAAACATCGAATCGTCAATTGATCAAATATTCAAAACATCTAATCGTCATTTCGTCCAATGCTCGAAACGTCGAATCGAGAAAAAGTTGAAAAATTTGCTTGATGTAAGTTAACATTTATTTAAACCAAGCAAATTTTTCCAATTTTTGTCGATTCGACGTTTCGAGCATTGGACGAAATGACGATTAGATGTTTTGAATATTTGATCAATTGACGATTCGATGTTTTAAGCATTCGACCATTTGACGATTCGATGTTTTAAGCATTGGACGAAATGACGATTAGATGTTTTGAATATTTGATCAATTGACGATTCGAGGTTGTTAGCATTTTTTAAAAAATATATTTTATTTAAATAAATTATATTTTACTACATTTAGATTTGACAGACATTTGTTAAATTACTATTTATACAAATTAAAAATTATAACACTTTAAAATTAGGTTATTATAAAATTATAAAAAATAAACTTTGGCTTATACAACTATTTTATCAGTTGAAAGTTTGCGTGAAAAAATTTTATAATTGCTTATGATTATAGAAAATGCGAATTGGATATTTTGATTATTGGCTTAAAAATAAATTATAGAATAAACTCATTTTATTAATTAGACTTTTATATAAAATCACATTATATTCAATGTTCTTTAGATCATTTGAATATTTATAACCTTTAAATTAGATCAAATGACTATTAGAGCATTTGCATAAACGGGGATAAACAGGCGTCTCAATAAAAGGGAATCCAAAAAGTTTATTAACATAAAATCTTTATATTTTATTACGTAATAACAATATTTACATATTTTCACAATAGGCACACTCATTCAGTTTTTTCATACTTATCTAAATTGCATTTTTATAAATTATTCAATTTCAAGTACAAGTTAAGTAACAAATCTCCAACTTTGTTGCACTTTGTTGATCTTAATAGCAACATTCAGTTCAATCTCATAAAATCTTTTTTACACACAAAATCATCAAAATCTGACATATTTTTATAAATAAATTTACAAAAACAAATTATCTTAACAGCTAAGCTTACAAATCATTTAATGCTTACTTAATTATTTAAGCACAATAATGATCGTGTACAAAGAAAAAAATGTCTTGAAAAACATTCACAATAAAAATACAACAGCGAATCAAAAATATTTTCACAATACAAACATTATTAAATTAACTTAAAGTTAAAATTATTTAAAAAGCATTCAAGAAATGCTGTGTATTTTTGATGAAAATCTCATTTAAATGCTTGAGCAGATTTAGAGGTTACTAGCAGTTAATTAATTAAAATATCACCGAGTGATGAATTCAAAATAATACTATTAATTATATTTACATTATAATAATATATTTTATAAGGTAAATAATAATTAATTACTATTTTGTATTAATTATTACTCTTTTGTATTAATTAATTATTTTGCATTAATTATTTATTATTTTGTATTAATTAATTACTATTTCGTATTAATTTTTAATAACATTCTTATCAAAAATTAATTTAAATATTTCTCTCATTTGCCTCGGAAACTTATCAATTAATCAACTTAGAAAGTAATTTTTTCCTTTATTAATAAGTTAAATTAATTTTTCTTTGATATGTGAGTTATTGCTAAAAGGAAGTTTTGCAATCCTTTGAAGAAAAATCGTATTTACAATAATGATTTACAGGCACGTTCCTTAAGACATTCAGCTCTTTAATTTTCTATTGAAAAAAGACTTGATTTCGCAATCAACTTTAGAATAATATTTCTTGGCTTGAATTTTTAGAGGAACTTTAGTTTGGCCTCAATTTAAATACTCCTTTTCAGTAACTTTTTTCATTTTAATTAATAAACCTACAGTATATATGTAATATTTTAAACAATATATTTGTCTTACGGAAGAGACAAATTCTCTAATTTACATCTCACTTTTATAATACAATTCATTCGTTACATTTCAGCACCTTATGAGATTATATTTCTCGCAAAATATAAATTATTTTTACTTCAGTCTCTGCAGTACTATATAAGATTATTTTTTCTGTACATTTTCTTCAAAAGTTGAAATAGTTAATGAGAAGAGGAATTAATTACATTATTATCAACTACGATAAAAATATCACAACTCATCTCTCGATAAATGTTGTTTACTTCGAATTTGAGGTTTATTCGTTTCTCTCAGATTTCCATTTAATTGAGAGAGCTTTCTATAGTAGTGTTTAAATTTATTTTGAATTACCTTCACTTTATCCTTGTCCTTAACCAAATTGTCAGTAGATTCCAAAATTAAATGAATACTTTTAATATGATTTAACTTGAGCAATATCAGTCTCTTGTTGGCAATTCTTTTTCCTGATAATGAAGCGTGTCTTCGTAATTGTCGGTATTCGTGGAGAAGGTTATCGATTATATCTAAACAAAGCCAACGTATTCGAATCACACAATCCTTGTGCGATTCACCGGATCCAATATGACAAATATTAACCAAAGCTTCCACGTGTGAATCACCGTCCAAATTGGCTAAGACGAAATTCAAGAGATTCGCTATTGTCACTGGTAAAGTGAAAGGAAATACTGTGCTATCTTCTTTTCTGTAAAAAAAGAAATTTTCAAATTAATAAAACTCTCGGGGAATTATTTATGAAAAAAATAAATAAAAATAATTTGTGAAATTAACCTCTTCGCTGGAAAGAAAAGTATTGACGGATAACGATCCATATTATATTCCCATGGTAAATCGTTATTATCACCATCAACTCTCACAAAAATAAGATGATCCATTTTTGATAAATAATTAGCTACACTTAAGTATGTGTACGCAATTGCGCTGCAAAAACCGCAATAAGGAGAATGGTAGAACACTACAACGTCCTAGAAAAAGTTTACGAGAAAAAACATTAAAAAAAATTAATTTCATTTATTTTCGTAAGTTTTTAAATTCCTTTTTGTTTATTTACTTTTTATAATTTTTTTCCCTTTAAATGTCTTCAATTTTAAAATTAATGTATTGAAAATCATTGAATTCTTGCAAAGAATTTTATTACAAAATTTGAAAATAATTGAATTCTTTCGAAGAATTTTATTTATGCAAATTGGATTCTTGACAATGATTTTATTAAAAATTTTAAAAATCATAATAAAATTCTTTTGTAGAACTTCTTTGAATTTTTATAAAATAATGGAGTTTCTTAGATAATTTTAATTTAAAATTATGAAAGTAATTGAATTTTATGAAGAATTTCTTTCAAGTTTTGAAAATAATCGCGTTTGTTAATAATTGAAATTGAACATTTGTTTCAAAATTATATTAACATTTTTAGGAAATAATTAAATTCTTCTCAGGATTTTATTACAATTTTTTTAAATAATTTAATTCATTCAAGGAATTTTATTAAATTATTAAAAATAATTGATTTCTTTCGATTAAAGGTTTTGACAATAATTCAATTCTTTCAAAAAATTTCTTTTAATACCTATATTCGATTTTTTAAAGAAAAATAATAAAAAAAAAAAATAATAAACAATAATAATTAATTATGTACTTTAATAAGTGGATTTTTTAAATTTTGAATCTGAGATTATTTAAAAATTTAATTTGAAATTTGAAAATAAATAATTTTGTAATTTGCATAATAATAATGAATTGAATATTACGTTTCGCGCGTAACATCTGCGAGTAATTAGAAATAGTTATTAGTGACAATATTTACCTTCTTAGAATCTAAAACAGTTTCTAAAAAATTCTCCGTTGTCAATTCAGGTATATGTACCGTTGATTTCTCAATAGTTTTAAACTCCATGCTCTTCTTGTAGGAATGAGCAAAACGTCTACTTTTATCAGAACGTAATGTTCGTTGTAAAAATCCATCAGTGTAATTGTTAATAAATTCTGTTAATGAATACATTGAAAGTTCCTCTTTCAAAACATAATGACTCTCTTCCTGTTGATATAGAATTTACCATGAAATTATTTTAAATATTTTATTTAAAATTTAAATAAATTAAAATGTAAATAAATGTTCTATTTTACCGTGGGATCTAAAATGACAACTGCGGTTTTATCTTTCTGAGTTGAAATATCGATTCCAAGTGCTTCTGCAAAATGGAAATAGTAAAGACTATCGACGGCAACAAATGAGAGAGTTTTATTAATTTCACAAATTGATGGTGTCAAATTAAGATTTTGTTTCTCTTTGTTTTTCGGAAATATTGGACGATGGTATTTATTTCCAATCAGCAATAATCGACATTGTTCCTTGTAGAAAAATTTTTGTATCTCCACTGCTGAGTATGGATCATTTTCACCAGAATTAACACTGAAAGGAAAAAGAATATATATAGAAAATTTTCATCAAAAAATGTTTTTAATAATTTAATTCATACTATTTTAATAACTGAATTCCACGTTCACTTAATAATTTTTTTCTTAATGAATTATTGAAATAACTTTTCAATGAATGCGGATAAATAATTATGTACCTTGAATTGATTACATCTTGAGGATTATTTTCTTCCTTGTGTTTATTGCAACATAATTCGTATTCATTATTGTTTGTGAGTTTAGAAGGAACAGTGAATACATCCCTCTCGAGACACACTTCATTCATTTCTTTCAAAGGAATACTGCACATGGATTCATCAATTTGTTCAATAAAGTCTCTTTTTCTGCACAGTAGACACTTGTTCATTACTATTTGTGAGCAGCAAGTGTCATTAATCCACTGTTGAATCGAAACACTAACTGTAGGAATGGTATTTTGATTATTTAACTCTTTTAAAAGTTTAGAACACTGTTTACTTTTACTCTGATGTCTCACACTGGCTTCAAGTCGTTTTTCCCTTAAACCATCGACTAATTTGTTAGCTACAATATTATCAATACAATTATAATATCGTAGTGCCATCTCCTTCAACTGGAAGCATAAGTAATTAAATTCACTTACTATTTCATTACAAGTAAGCACAATTATAAATTCTTTTCTATTTTTCTTCTTCTATTCTTTTTCTATTTTCTATTCTATTCTCGGAATAGAAATAAAATTTATTTTATTAATTGGTTAAAGGACCAATGTTTTAAATTAATAAAATAAATTTTACTTATAGTTTACTATAAATGGAAAACTTCTTACGAGATTGTAATTGTAATTTTCCTTATGCAGAGGATTTCTGGGTGTGAAGAGAAAAAGTACTGGACCATCCCAAAGATAAGGAGCAAATGTTGAAGATTTACTCCCCGGTGGTTGGAGCCAAAGATTGACTCGATGCGTTTCCTTGCCGGTCCAAATCAATAAATTATCTGTCGTCCACTTATCAGTTTCAGCATAACTCTAAAGAAAATAATCTTTAACATCAGATTCTAAACGAAAAATTAATTTTCATCCAACTTACTATAGATTCATTCCACATGAATAGCCTTGCGTGAGGAAATTTAACAACACTGTAATTTAATTCGGCTATTTTTGGATTAGTAATGGCAGCGTAAATAATTTCCTGATTTGGATCCCTTTCGAGCGATCGCAATGAGGCTAAATAAAATTCCTTATAACCTGGACTATTGGCCACTCCGGTAAAATTAAAAAAGCCCAAAACTACAGCCTGTAAGATAATTGTTCTTTTAGTTTAAAATAATTGTAATTATTGCATTTAATATAATTTAAATTCATTACATCTTTCTCGACAAGAAGACTATCCAATTGTGTTTTGTCGGTTATTCTAATAATAGACTTCATAACTGCATCGAGAAATTTTATCATATAAGGAGCTGTTTGTATGCCTTTATAAGGAATTCCTGAATGCCTCGATGGATAGAGCATTAGAATTGGATAACTTTGGATTTTATTGACTTGAGCTCTACATTCTGATCCAGGATGCCAGCAATTAATTGCAGCAAAGAATATCTAGAAATAAGTATATTTTACCAAAATATTTTATAATAAAGAAATTTATTACATTTTTATTATTAGATTTATGCCACCTACCTGAGAATGGTAATATTTAGATACAGTTTCAAATTCTGCCCTTAAATTCTGACTTTCAGCATCCCAGGGTGCATAGTACATTATAAAACTAAAATCCGAATCCATTATCCTCTCTATCATTGCATTTAAATGTCCTTTGTAAAAATCGGTTATTATCGAACTTTGATTGAAAAAAGGTCGTGCATTTGGTGGTTTTGATATTTTTGGAGGTCTGAAATCAGTAAAGAGAAAAAAATGTGACGATAGAAAAAAAGTGTAAAACTTCAATTTTTTCCTAGAATATTAAAAAAAAGTTGGGTATCTAAAAACATTTTTAAGACTCATAATACTTATATGCTTTTTTGTAATATTACATAAAGAACACCTTATCGTGTCTATTTATAAATATCGATTTTTTAATATTCTAAAACCAGAAATGTACACGTAATAAATTATATGATAATTTTCTATATACATTATGAAAATTGGACATACTAAAGAGAATACAAGCAAATGAAAATTCGAAATAAAATTCCTATTTAGGAATTTTAAAGAAATATTTTTTTAAAATTAATAGAGAAGATAGAAATATCGCACTATTCGATAAAAAATAGAAAAACATTTTGTTTTGTATTGATAACATAACCTTATAAGAACTATTGAAACTTACGAACTTTGCAGGGCAACTAGAATAGTAAATATGATGCCGGCGAAGAAAAAAGAATTAACGCACGAAAACATCTTGCTAGCTAACCCTTGATTCGACTTTTTGGCCACGTTGTTACTTCTTGAATCTTGAATTGTTGAATCTGGATCATCAACATTATCCCACTCTTCGCCGGACATCATCTACTAAACCAAAACGAAATGAAAAACCAATTTTTTTATCATTAATACCACATTGCTTCAAATTTTATTCAAATTTCTATCACAGGAATAAATTCAATTTAAAATCATATTAGGCCAAGTTCCTTTAATTTAACACTACAATCATAAAATATTTAATGACAAAACCATCAAACATTTTTTCCACACAAGAAAAACATTATACCAACAAAAGAATAATAAAAATAAGAAGAAATCCAATTGGTCAGGTGTTTCATAAATTTGAAATTACCGCTCACCTTTCGATATTATTATTGGTTCACACAAATTGCGTTCAATCTCACATGAAAAGAGGCTTAAATTTATGAAGGCTGAGTCACATGTTCACTGATCGAACTGTCAAACTCGGATAATGTCACTTGACTAATCGTTGAAATTTAACCTCGAAGTCCTTAAATTTCTTGTAAAATTTCATAGTTAATTAATTAGTTTCACATTTTTAAAGTAAAAATCTTGAAAACGATATATTATTTATTCATTATTGCGTGAGATATTTATGAAATTGACATTTTTATCTAATGTGAAAAGAGCAAAAAAAACGGAATGGAGCATAGAACCTTGTTGATCAGTCGAATGAAAAAGTTGAATATTTTTTAAGAATAAAAAAAAACTCGTTATATTTTCTACTACCGGTTTGTTAATGTAATTTTTTTATTAAAATTTGTGAGAAGACGTTTTTTTAAAAAAAAGTAATATCGCGATTGTGCGACATAAAAAAATTTTTGACAGTTTCGATGCTGTCTCGTGTACTCACTCCAAATTCTTTATACAGACAATGTCTGAAAGCAGTGAATCTGAAGAATTTTTCGACGCAGAAGATGACACCCATCATAGAGCGTCAAGGTAATATTTTTAATTTCTTTTATTGACATTTAGGATAATAAATTTTAATCTCACATGGAAGATTTTAGATAAATTACGATCTATTCTTCTTGTGTCTTAGATTTTTTTTCGTTATGTGACAAAAATTTTAATTATAGTAATATATCAAACGTGACACAATCGCGTGCTGTAAAAACTAATAATTTGGATTGTAATTAATTTTTTTTATTGTGAATCAAATTTTATGTAATAGGATTTTTTCGTAATTACTTTGAAGGGGAAATTACTGTTTCTATTTAGTGAATTTTCCATGTTTCGTTGTTTATTATTTTAACTGTTTTTGTTTCGAAAAAAAGTCTCCTGACTTATTTTGAATAATTTAAAATTTCTAAGACAGTTTTTTTAAAAGTATTTTATCACTAAGATCATTATTCTCTAGAGTGGAAAATATTTTTCACTTTAAGTGAGTTTTAATTACAAATCAGTAATAACATTTAAAAAACAATTTAGTAAATTTTCATTCTTGACTGTAACGAGTATTTGATTTCTAGGAAAAGTAAAACTCATCAACCGGCTCCCGCTGAGCAGCAAGAGCAGCAGGATGAGAAGTCAGTGGAAAATAAACAAATTGATGATCATGTATTCGTGAAACCTGTTGACCCAAAGCCCCTTCCAGAATCAAGAAGTCAAGTGGGCTTAGAAATAAAACAAAATGCCGAGAAAGTTGTAAGATTTCTTTTTCAAATCTATTTCTAATTAGTTGATTGCGGAAAAAAATTATTAATATGCAAAATCATTTTCTAAATAGGATGAAAATGATAAAGGAACGGGAACCGACAAAAGTGTTGAGAGACGAAGATTTCGTGAATTACGTCAACGAATGCAAACGGAGGACGACGATATTCCAATTAATAATTCTCCGCCTGATAGTCAGACATCTTCCATTGAGGGTGTTTATCCAACTCCCTCAAAGACATCTCATCCATTTAAAATAATTGAGCACGATACATTTAGTTTACAAAGTATGACTTCCTTAGGTCGTGTTGGTCGACTATTAGCTGGAACATCGGACAGTGCATCTGGTATTGTTGCGCCAGGTTATCAATATCCATCCAATGTTTTATCGCGTAGTAGTCAAATGTCATCGATAGCGAGTATTTCAAGTAAAGATGAGGATGTTGCCTCGGGCAAGGTTTCACAATCTTCCAGTAGTTTAACACTTTCTGGCGAGATGCTGCAGGATTCATTGAATGGCAAATCAAATTGTTCCGCTTCTTCGCATGGCGATAAGCCCGCATTGCTTCAGGAGCCAGACGTTATTGCGAGCACAAAAAATAATGGAAAGCCCGCTGATCCGCAAAATGGCTCCATTCCAAAAGTGCCCGTCGCACCTCCACGACGAAAAAAGAAAACGAAAACACAAACACCGACTGAACTTGCCGTAAGTTTCAATACTTGCGAAATATGTATTACAGATATTTACTTTGTTTTTGTTTATTTTCTACTTTGTTTTTCATTTTATTTATTTTATTTTCATTTTATTTTTATGCTTTTTTATTCCTCATTTATTTTTCACGTTACGTAGTATTTCATTTCTTATTTTTATGCAAATTTTTATTTAAATATCAATTTTAATTTTTGACTGACTTTACATTTAAAATTTTTAAAAATTAACTTATTAACTGATTAATTATTATTTATTACTTTCTAAAATATTAATAAAATTCTTTGAAACAATTTAATTATATTCAAAAATTTTCATAAATTCTTCTCAAGAATTCATAATTTTATAACAATAATTCGTAATTTTTATAAAATTCTTCAGAGGAATTTAATTATCTTCTATATATAATTATTAATTTTTTATTAATTATCTTCTATATTAATAATCGTTGCATTTCGGTGGTAATCTGTTCGCAGTTTGAAGTTAGTTGTTGTTTTCTTTATTATTTCCTAACTTTTTTAATAATTTTCCTTTTTAAATATTTTCAATTTTAAAATTAATGTCTTGAAAATCATTGAATTCTTGCGAAGAATTTTACAATTTATAAAAATAATTGAATTGTTTTAAATAATTTTATTGGAATTTTTTGAAAATAATTGAATGTTTTGAAAGAATTTTATTAAAAATATTGAAAATAATTTGATTCAATCGAAAATTTTTATTAAAACGTTTAAAAAGATTAATTTTCCTTAAAAATTTTATCAAAACTGTTGAAAATAATTGAATTTTTGAATTTATAATTAAATTAAATAATTGAATTTAAAAATATTTGCATTCTTTTGAGAATATGCATAATTACATTTTTATAAACAAATTGTATCATTTTCTAATATTTATAGAATATAATTTAATATTTTACAAGAAATTTCTTAAAATTTTTTTAAATAAATTTTACAAACAATTTTAGAAATAATTGAATCTTGGAATTATAATTGAAATTTCTTAAGTTTTGAAAAAGACATTTGAATAATTTTCAAAAAATTTATTAAACGTTTTGAAAATTAAGAAATTTTACAGAAAAAAAGATTTTAAATAACCAAAAAGAAACAAAAGGGAAAAATTAAAATAATTGAAAATAATTGAATGTTTGCAAAGACTTTACTGTTTAAAAAAATAATTGAATTCTCCCAAAGAATGTCAAGAATTTAATTCTTTTCATAAATCATAAAATTCTTTAGAGGAATTTAATTATTTTCAATAAAGTTTAAATTAAATTCCTTCAAATAATTACATTACTTAAAAATTTTTATTATAAAATTCTTATGTTAAGAATCTAATTCTTTTCATAAATAATAAAATTCTTCTAAAATTTCTCTAAAGGAATCCATTATTTAAATTTTTTTTTTAAATTCCTCGAAAGAATTTCAATTGTTTTCAAAAATTTTGATAACATTTTTTAGAAAAATTTAATTATTTTCAGTACGATTGTAATTGAATTCTTTAAAAAAATTTAAATTTTCTTCGAAAACATTGAATTTGAATGTTTACAAATTTTATTAAATTAGTATTTTCATAAGTTATGAAATTCTTCGGGGGAATTCAATTAAGTACTTTCAATACAATTTAATACAATTTTTTGATAAAATTAAATTATTTTTAAAAATTTTAATAAAATTCTTTAAAAGAATTCAATTATTTTCAAAAATGTTCATAAAATTTTAGTAAAATTACAAAAGAACTCAATTATTTTCAAAAATGTTGATAAAATTTCTCGGAAGAATTCAATTAGTTTCAGTACAATTTTAATCAAATTTCTTTGAAAGAATGAAATATTTTAAAATTCAAAACATTAAAAAGAAAAATTATAAAAAAAATAGTAAACAGAAAACCAAACACTAAAAAAGTAACTTCAAATTACGAACAGATTACCGAAGTACAACGATTATTAATATAGATAGATCGGATTTATTTGAAAGTATATTATTATTCTGATTTTGAATTATTAATAATATCTTTGATAATTATGTTTTATAGCCAGCACCAAAGGAGACCGTGGTATCGACATCGCCATTACCAAGTCCTGCGAGTACAATAGAATCAATCACTAGGGACCTTGAACATTGCCTTGATATTCGATCGGCTACGAAAGGGCAATATGTAGTGAAACCCCAGGTAAATTTATCAACGAAAAATTTTTAATACAATCGGAAATTACAAAAATTAAACAGAATTTTGCCGTAGGGCAGGGGAATGTCAGAGAATTTTATCATAAATACTTTTTTAGTAATTCTGACAAAAAAAATATGAATAAATCCGAAAATTCAAGTCAGGTTTAAAAACAAGTTTTAAATTTTCTAAAATCTAGTTCTTTTTTTGTATTCCTACTTGTATCTAAGGGGTGAATATGTTTTCGAAATTGGAATTAAAAATGACTTTCTTGTTTATTCTTCCAGGATGAGGATAAATCAAGAGCACAGGGACCTTCGTCCGAGGAATTGGAAAGAATAGAAAGAATGAAAATTGAATTGCTAAGTATTCCCTTGAGTGACAAATCAAATAGTCCACTAGGATCGATTTCGAGTAATAGCGTTGGTCGTTATTCCTTGGGACCTCACAAATTTACCGGCTTCAGTCCTCAAGGTTCTAAAGAAAGGCGCAAATCTGCCGGTGATCAAGATATGGTCAAGCAACTCAATATGCTCGTCAGAACGCGAACCGATTCTGGAAAACGTCTCACTGATATGGTAATTAACAATAACACAATTATAACTTTAGAAATTTAGAATTGAGAAATTTATAACAAGTATATTTTTATTCATTTTTATTCACTTTTATTAATTTTTATTTAAACGATTCTAGCGAATAAAAATCGTTCTGTTTTTTTTATTGATTTCCTTTTTGTGAAATATTTCAGGAAATTCTGGAACAGGTAACAGTATTGAATTTGGACACCGGTGAAAGAGTGCCATTAAGTATTGCCGAAGATAAATTGCCGCAGTGTGTGAATCCCCTGTCACTTCATATAATGAGATTAACGTCCGAGTATATAAGTAATACGAGTTTGGAAAAGGAGAAGGAAAGTGACGAGGAGAGTGTCGACAGTAAAATGTCAAGTTTACCACCTGATGAAGAATTATCAGTTGGTCGTGTTCGTAAGAGAACACAAAAGTTAAGACGCCTCTTGGGCTCAACAGTGAAGAAAACAATGGATAAGGCAAAATCAATTGCACAAGAAGTATCGCACGCGCGACATAAAGAGGACGTAATGGATATTGTCGATGAAGTTAATCCCGGCGAGCAACAATGGATAAAATTAAAAGCATCAAACAGTCACAAGGGTCCCTATGAATTTGGCAATTTACAACACGTTCAAGATTTAAGCGGTGAACATGTCGGTCCAGTTTGGTGTATGAAATTCTCCGCATGCGGTCGTTTATTAGCCACCGCAGGACAGGACAAGGTATTGAGAATTTGGGTATTGAGGGATGCCTTCACATATTTTCAGGATATGCGAACGAAATATAATGCTGAAAAAGTGAGTCCAACGCCATCGCAAGAATCATTGGTGTCACAGCAATCGATGGAGGATCCAAATGTGATAGCGAGCGCCTTCAGTGAAATTGAAGGCACCAAGTGTCCTTTTATGCCAAAACCATTTTGCACATACGCTGGACATACATCCGATCTATTGGATGTGTCATGGTCGAAAAATTATTTTATCCTCTCGTCATCAATGGACAAAACAGTACGTCTCTGGCACATATCGAGAAAGGAATGTCTCTGTTGTTTTCAGCATATTGATTTTGTCACTGCTATTGTATTTCATCCGAGGGACGATCGTTTCTTTCTCTCCGGTTCATTGGACGGTAAATTGAGATTGTGGAATATTCCCGATAAGAAAGTTGCCGTTTGGAATGAAGTCGATGGACATACAAAATTAATAACGGCGGCAAATTTCTGTCAGGATGGACAATTTGCCGTTGTTGGCTCGTACGATGGTCGATGTATTTTTTACATCACTGATCAATTGAAATATCACACGACAATTCATGTGCGTTCAACGAGGGGAAAAAATTCCACGGGACGTAAAATAAGTGGCATTGAACCAATGCCGGGTGAGGATAAAATTCTTGTAACATCGAATGATAGTCGTATTCGATTATACGATTTACGTGATTTAAATCTCTCTTGTAAATACAAGGGCTATGTGAATGTAAGTAGTCAAATAAAAGCGAGTTTCAGTCCCGATGGACAGTATATTGTCAGTGGATCGGAGAATCAGTGTATTTACATTTGGAAAACGCATCATGATTATTCAAAATTCTCGAGTGTCAGACGAGATAGAAATGATTTTTGGGAGGGCATTAAGGCACACAATGCTGTTGTGACTTGTGCTGTTTTTGCACCAAATCCAGATACAATTATTAAACAAATTGAGGCACGCGAGCAAATTGATAATAAAGGAGAGCAAAAAAATATTGATAGTATCATTGCGCATGATACGCCTGTTGATCCAGTTGTTGAACAACGTACAAAAGGTTGTGGTGGACATGTTCTTGTCAGTGCTGACTTTAACGGTTGCATTAAAGTGTTCCTGAATAAAACAAAACCAAAGCATAGTTCTTTACCAGCTTCTGCTCTCGCGTAATCGACATTTTATTTGTAAGTAACAAATTGGCACATTTCATTTGGGGGGAAAATTTTTTTTTTCTATTTCTATTATTTTTCTATTTTATTTTCTTACAGAAATTAAATTATACATAATTTACAAATTTTTGTTCAATTAAATGAAAAATTAAATTCTTCCAGAAAATGAAAAATGGAAAAAAATTTGAAAAATTTATTTTTCTTTTATGTCACAAAAATTAGGAATGTTAATTAACACTTTTTTCTCCTAATTGAAAGGCCAAACATTGATCATCCTAGGATGTTAAAATAATTCAGAATGAAAAGAAAATGTTCTAGGAGCAATTTTGCAATTACTGGAACAATAAAAAAAATGTTGTAAATATATATTACGAGAAGAGAATATTTTAACACAGGCTTTGAATAATTTTTCCGTTCGCATATTTTTAAGTAATCGGAAATATTTTTTTTTGTTCTTGTTATGAAAGTTAAAGTTGATCAATATTTAACATTCACATTGGAATTTTTAATTCTACTGGAAATTTAATTTATCTAAATTTTATTGAATTGAAATCTAATTCAATTTAAATTCAATTTAATTTCATATTTAATTTAATTCAATTTAATTTAATATTTAATTTAATTCAATGTTTAATTTAATTTAACGATTAATTTAATTTAATGTCTAATTATCAAATTTCTTTCTTAAATATCAATGTGAGATTTTTAAAAATTGATTGACTTTTTCTGCTTGTGCCATTCGTTTTTTTCTATCACCAAATATTTAAAATGAAAGTTCCATTTTTATCAAACAATTGACGATAAATAGTTAGCACAATTATTGCAAACAGTGGTATTAAGGAATTATTATATAGGCTCTGCTGAAATGACGCATACATCGAATATTATTAAAAGAAAAGATCGTAGAATTAAAAGAGAGGAATTTTCAATTTTCATAATTCGAAAAAATGGTAAAATTCAATTTGAATTTTCTATTTTTTTTATTTCTATTTTTAACTTTGTAATTGAAGCGTTGGGTGCAAGAAGGGCGTATAACAAAAAACGACGAACGGAGATATTTCATGTTTAAGTTTTTAAACTTTAAAAGCCCGAAAACTGTGCATGCAAATTAAATAAACTATTTTTTATTTAATTAGTCCACTATTGAGCTATCAAATTAAAGTGTAAAATTAAGGGAAAGTTGCAATTAACTATTAAATAATAATGTTTTTCAAAACTAATTTATACGCCCTTTTTGCACCCAACCACTTGCTTAACCACACAATGTTTTAGGCGTTAGTAAAATTTAAAGTTTAAACTTGAGATAACTTTAACTTTTGAATATTTTGAGATATATTTTGTGATTTTCGTTATTTTTAACATATAATTAATCCTTAAATCATTTCTAATTATATTAAAAAATGAACATTTCAAATAGAAATTTTTTTTAACCAAATTTCTGTAAAGGACTGTCGATTTTCTCTTGTTTTTACATTCAAATTGTATTGGAAAACGTTTAAAGTTACAAAATTATGTTACATTCGCGCAGATTTTTATTCCTAGCATCGTCAAGAAGTCTCATATCAAAATAAATTTTTGGTAATAAAAACCAGATGATATTGTAATCGTTCTCATTCAATAATTTGAAAACGGGCGTTATCCGCCTAACGCCCTTCTTGCACCCAACGCTTCAATTACCAGCAAGATATTTTAGTATTAAAATTAAGGAAACTGTTCGAAATCAAAACTTATTAATTATAATTATAATTTCATTTCTGATAATGTTTATTTAAATATTATAAAATCTATTGATGATTGAAAGTAATTTTATTGTATTTATTGCAATGAATCGTAATGAGAGGAAGTAAAATCCTTTTTCTTAATCTACGGTCTTTTCGAGCTTTTTTGAATAATCAAGCAAAGCTTCACACTATTTTCAGTAATTTTTGGGAATTAGATAGTAATAAATTTACACAAATTAAGTATAATAGGAATAATATATAAATATATAATATAAATTAACGGAGTCAAGAAAGATGGTTGATGGTTTTTACAAATTCATTGCTTTTCTTTTTTTTTGGAAAAAATTTGTTTCGTTTTCTTAAATTCTACACCGATTGCGTGAAATTAAATAATAATTTTATTATTTTTTCTGATTTATTTATAAATAGAACTATTTTAAAGTTTTAAACTATAAGTGTACTATGTATTTTCTACAAAAAATCGTTAATAATTTAATTTTCAGCAAAGTGTGATTTTTTGTAATCAATTTTTTTTTATAACAAATTTTAAAGTTATACATGAAGATTTGAAGAAATGTTCATTTTTTGCTTTTTAATTTATTTTTTAATGTGAAAAATATAATTTCACTTTTAATTATTTGTGCAGTAGAAAAATTAATTTTTTTGTGCACTATTTATTTTTTTCCTTTATATTTAGCACTGTTTTGATAATTCAAAAAAATTTATTATCAATCCACTGATCTGTTTAATAATTATCGAATAAAAATTTTTTTAACTTTTTGAATAAATACGTTTTAAATAAACTAAAAATTTTAATTAATTAAAATTACATTAATTAATTAATTTATTTTTTTAGCACATTTTATGAAATTAGAAATTATCAAGTAGGAATTCTTATTGATTAATAAACCAATTTTTAATATTTATTAATATAAAAAAAATTTTTGTAAATGTTTTTTCTTGGAATTTTTGGAAATCTTTTCGTTGGATAAGATTTAAAGACGAGTGCGTAATTTGAATCATGTCAATTATATAAATTTCAAATAAAAAAAGAGGAATGTATTTATAAAATCAAAATTAATGTTTTAAACATGTTGAGAAACGTTTAATGCGGACTGAAAATTTGTAAAAAAATTTTTTTGAAAAAGATTATATTAATTTATAATCTTTCATTTTCGAACAAAAATATATTCATGAAATTTCTCGTTTCGTTTTTTTTTTTTGCTAATTTGCATTTGAAATCAGTCCAATTTTTGCTTTTACATAGCAAACAAAACAAAACTAAAAAAGAAAAACATTTTGTAATCTCGATTTTTTCCGAGATAACAAAAGAAAAATAAATCGTAATCACATATATGCTAATCAAACTGATTAATTAATAAATACTGATATGTATTTAAAATGAAAATTAAAATTAGAAGGAAAAGAAAAATAATTCACGGCGTATGAAAAATTTTTTGTCATCATTGATTTATGCGCTGTAAATATTATTTAATAACAAAAAAACAATTAATGTAAATATGAAAAGAAGAAATTAGGTTTATTGTAAAAAAAAATGAATGAAATAAAATTGTAATTGTAAATATTTTTATTGGCGTAGTAAGAAAAAAAAAACTTTGGAGCGTGATTATTATGCCATTTTATTTCGTGGCGTGCACAAAAATAATAATTTGTTATCTTGCAGTTCCATACGTTATATAATTACAATAAACATTGTATTGTCACATTAAATGTGTCTATGTTTTTGGGTTGCTGACAATAAGCTAATAAACCTGAAATACTATAAATTTTTTATCTCTCTATTCACTATAAATCCCCTCAAAAAAAAAATAATTTAAAAAAAAAATAAAACAAATAAAAACCCTTCTAATTAGTAAGATGAAAATACATAAAAAAAATTAAACGACAAAATTTTATGGATAAATATATATTATAGAGAAAAAAACCTTTATTTCTACATACTTTTTAAAAATAACAATTTTTCTAAAAATTAATTTATTAATAAAATAATTTTTCTCAAAATGAATAATTAATAAAATAATAAATTTTATAGAAATTAATCCATTGTGTGAAGGAATTTAAATTTTTTTCCTTTTTTGAATTTTTACAAATGGCCGGAGGGAAGAAGAAGAAGTGATAACTATTTTGCATGAAAAGATTAAAAAGAAAACATTCTTCTTCATCGTCATTAGCTTTTAAATTTATGAACATGGTAATTGCTCATAACGGCCGAGACATTAGTCATTTAATTAACCTGTTTGAAAAGTATTTTAGGTACATTATCATTCTGAAGTCAAAATAGAATCCGTAAAAGACAAATACGAAGAAAATTTCTTTTTATTAAGTATTAAAAAAAATATTTTTTTTAATTTAAATTAAGTACAAATTTATTTTTCAATTTTAAAATATTTATTAAATATAAAAAATAAAACTAAAATAAAAAAACTAAAAAAAGTTAAAAAAAAGAGTATTATTGAAATTATAATATTATTATAACTATATTATTAATTATTATTAAATTAATAAATTTAATAATAAAAAAAAATAAAATAAAATCTTTGCAAGATTTGAATTATTTTCATAAATAATAAAATTTTTCAAAGGATTTCAATTATGTTCAAAAATTTTAATAAAATTTTTCCTAAAAATTCAATTCTCTTCATGAAAAGTAAAATTCTTTCAAAGATTTCAATTATTTTCTTGAATAATAAAGTTCTTCGGAGGATTTCAATTATTTAAAAAAATTTTAATAAAATTCTTGTCAAGAATTCAATTAACTTAATTCAATCAATTTTTTCATAAAAAATAACATTCTTGGAAAATTTCAATTATTTTCTTTAATAATAATTGAATTCTTTGCAGGATTTCAATTATATTAAAAAATTTGAAACAATTTTTTGTCAAGAATTCATTTTTTTCATTAATAATTGAATTCTTTGCAGGATTTCAATTATATTCAAAAATTTGAAACAAATTCTTGTCAAGAATTCATTTTTTTTCATAAATAATTGAATTCTTTACAGAATTTCAATTATTTTCAAAAATTTGAAACAAATTATTGTCAAGAAATCTTTTCGAAGTAAAATTCATCGCAAAAATTATTGTGAAAATTATTTTAAAAGGTTGACAAAAATTGTTCATAAAATTAAATTTTTTTCACAATTTTCAATTAAAATTATTAAATAAACTCCATTATTTAAAAAAAAGTTCAAAGAAATTTTTCAAAAGACTTTAATTAGGATTTTTAAAAATTTCAATTAAATTATTCTCGAGAAATCGATTGTTTTCATAAATAATAAAATTCTGGGAAGGAATTCAATTATTCTCAAATTTTTTGACAAAATTCTTTGCAAGAATTCAATGATTTTTAATACATTAATTTTAAAATTGAAAATATTTGAAAAGAAAACTTATTAAAAAAGTTAGGAAACAAAAGAGCAATTTATTTATTTGTGCTACAATGTACTGAACTCATTTTATTTTCAGATTCAACGTAAGTTCTGGGAAATTTCATTTTATAGAAATTTAATGAGCTTTTCGAGAGATTTGAAAATTTTGTAATTATAAATTAAAAATTCTTTTCTTATTCATAGCTCAAGGAGCAAAGTAAAGAATAGAAATGAAAGTATAATGTAGAAGTTTTCACTTGAAAGGCATGACAATCGAAAAATATTAAATGTACTTTATTGATTAATTTATATCTTATATTAAGGTATGTAACAATATTATTTATGCTTTTAATGAAGAGAGTTAGAAATAAAATTTGTAATTAAATTAGAATTTAATTGTTTTGTATTATTGAAATAGATATTAACTTTTTTTTAGATTTTTTCAAACAGATTTCTTTTCAAAAAACGATACAAAAGGTATTTCTATTACATTTTATTAAAATTAGTTTCTTATTATTCGGAGCAAAATTATATAACTTGAGTAAATTAAAAAAAACACCAATATCTTCTCCGTTTTGGAGTAAAATTCTACTAATAAAAATATTTACTAACATAATTTTTAATTAAGAAATTCGTTCTGATACAACTTCAAAATAAATTAATTCATAAAATAACAATATTCATCGCAGGAATTCATTTATTTTCAAAAGTAATAGGATTATTCGAAGAAATTCAATAATTTAAAAAAATTTTAACAAATATCTCGTCAAGAATTCAATTATCTTTACAAATAGCAAAATTTTTCTTCAAAAGTTTTTCGCAATTCAATAATTTTTAATATTTAAGTACTATTTTCATAAAATTTATCAAAAGATTTAATTATTGAAAAAAATTTTTGATACAATACTTTGAAAACATTCAATTATATTTTCATAAATAATAAAATTTCATTTAGGAATTCAATTATTTTCATCTCAGAATTTCAAATAAATTCCTCGAAAATTTGTCGCAGGAATTCAATTATTTTCAAAATTTTTTAAGTAATTCTGCAAAGAAATTCAATTATCTTGATAAACAACAAAATTCTTCCCATAAAATCAATTATTTTAAGGAATTTTAATAAAATTCTTTTCTAAGATTAAATTATTTTGATAAATATCAAAATTCATCAAAAGAATTAAATTCTT